ACCAATCATGATGTTTACAGTCCTGAGAGAAATATAACTATTTGTTGCATGAATAAAATCAGCAGCACATCCTTCATTTTTTCACATTAATGAATAAATTACGTTCCAAGAGATTGGAGTTGTGCAGATGTAAACATGTATGTCAGGAAAGGGTTACATTTTTTCCTAGTTTTATTGTTTAAAAACTGATTTAAGATTTAACCCATTTCCTTTAAAAAACTACTTTTACTTTGTCCTAAATTAGTCTTTATGTGCAACCTGCTTGATAACCAATCTTTTAAAACATCATCATCATCTTGCCTCCTTTAAGAAAATACCAAATAGTTACAAAACTTCAAATGAGGCTTTAGAATGGGTTTAAAAAGGCTAGATCTTTACAAAACTGCCACTAAAGCCAGTAACATCAAGTCAAGTGTTTGTTCATCCCCAAAAGACTCAGAAAATGCTTTGGTCCTTGATTATCACATCTAATTAACAGCTCTTGCACTGGAGAAATCTTTGACTTGAAACGCTAATGAATTAACATTGATACTATTTAACAGCAACATCTCTAAAACAGAATTAAGCAATGGGTTTCATTTATCAAGAGCCTTTCTTGCAAACATTTGTTTAAACTTTGTGAAATGTATGAAATAAACAAAGTAATTCAAATTCTTTAATTTGTTGCACCTGTTTCATGCATGCTTATTCTTTATTACAGCACTGGCTTCACAAAGCAGATTATACTAAATGAATGTCAATAAATTAAGTGCAGCTGATGGATGCAGTTTGTAGTGATCAAATTCAGGTTGCCAAAAGGTTAAGAAAAGCCTCCTCCTCTTCAAATGATCTTTTTTAACTTACCAGGGTTTCCTGAAAGATTGGCAATGTTAATACAAAACGTTTGGGATTGGTAGAAACCTTGAAACTTGCATATTACCTCACACCTTCCCTATACATTCTTCATTTTGTGTAAAGTTCTGGGCATCTACAGTACCTGTACCTTCAGCGACTCCCTTTTGAGCTGTATTATGAACATAATATTTAGCCAGAAAGAAAATATTTGGAAATATAATAATCTAAATGTAATCATAATGCAGAAAGTAAAATGCTAAGTCCATGTAGATGTAATAACTCATTTAAAAATTAATAGGTTAGAATAAAATGTATCAGTATAATAATGTATCAATACAATTTTACATCAATATTTTGCCACATGCATCCAATGAATAACTATAAATGAAAATATTAAATATCCTGCATGTTGTTTGTTGCATCAGACTTTAAATGGTTATAAATGTCTGGACGATTAGGTAGATGGAAGGACAGATCCCCGAAAGCCGGGCATACGCTGTGAGATATTTTCAATCATTGCATGCAACTACAGCTCAAACTGTACGACGAAGGTTTACGACGGCTGACCGAATTTCAGACATGTTTGATTTCCTCCCGACCTTACATTTCCTGGTCGGGAGGTGGTCATGAGAGGCTGATCGGCCCTCGTTACCCCCTGTACACTACACGACGCACCATCAGGCTGAAACTAGGCCCAATCGAAGAATTCTCCACGACTAGAAAATCTGTCCGAAAAGAAAAAAAAAAAAAATAATCATACAGCTTATGCCCAGCTTAACAAAATAATTTAGCAATTAAGGGCAATGATTGTAATGTAAAAGTTCAAGGGTATGTTTTACACAAATATCATGTACTTCAAACATAATAAAGATAAAGAAAAAAGGAAACCTTGTGTTTGCATTCTAATTCTTCCCTTCTTTTTATCAGGGTATCAGCTTTGAGGTCCTGCACCACTTCTTTTAGCTGCAGTAGCCCAGCAAGACCAATACATGAGTAAAACTCCACTACATTTGGCAATAATCGTTGTTTTTTACAACTTTTAGATTCTATAATTATGCTATCAACCTCTGAATCTGTTGGAATCCCTTACAGCTATAAGAACTGTATTGTCTTTAAAAAAAAAAAGCAAAGGCAACATTTTGAACACAGTCTAGACTATTAATTTGAGTAGATTTTCTTTAAGTATTTGGTAGATCTCACCTGAAAACATGATCAATTCTACCTTTTTTGATTTCAACTTTTCCTTTCAATGCACTCTGCATGATTCAAATACATCTGTTGTTCCCTAAACGTGCTTTAATATCGTCAAACTTTCCTCTACATGTCTCCTTTAAATGATGACCCAAACTGCCTGAACAAAGGAAAGAAGTTCAGATTTAGACTAAAGTATGAGCAAACTTAGCTTTGCTCACATGGAGAGTCCTGAAATATTGACAAATTTGCCCATCTTTTTCTCTCATCTGTTCAGAGCAAAATAATTCATCAGACTATAGTGAGGCCAAATGCTGTTTCGAAACTATTGGTTTAACCTTAGGCCACTAGGGAGAGCTGTGTTTGTTTTTGGAGTCACTGATTCAAACCAGCCCAGAAGCCTCAGTCAGTCAGTTCTGCAAGGAAAATCATTGGTGATCTCTTCCCCTTCAGGAATGCATAGTTTCAAGGTGAAGCTTTATATTTTCTCCACCTACTACCATGAGACTTATAAAATGTCATCAGCATCACTCAGCATCTTTAAAATAATTTTAGGTCACTTTATTTTTCTTTATCATGGCAATGGATTTAATGTTTTTAATCCTCGGTTGTCAGTCTCTTGGGGTCTGTTGCTTCCTCTGGCCATTAGAAGGGGATTAGTGCTGGTGGGGAAGTACTGCACTGTACTGTAATTCCTCACACTTCTTTGAGAGAAACAACAAGGAAGCATTTTTAAACCCCACAGATGTTCTGACAGTTACCATTCTTTTATGTTTGTTGTTGGAATAGCTGCACTCTTTGTGCAAGTGTAGTAATTTGTAGAGGGGGACACAGATTTGTAGAAAATGGCCCAAGCCTGCCACATTGTTATACCCAAAACTAAAATTAGAATGGAGTGAAGGGTGAGTCTCCTCATAACTTCCAATATATCTGTCAACACAGATTTACTTCAGAGAGTGTAAGGCTGTAAATTAACCTCAAAACTTTAAAGAAAGGAGATCATTATGATGTCATTCAGAGACCCTGTAAAGAAGTCAAGAACATACATGGCAGATATGTCAGTGGGAGTGGTTGCTGAATGAATCATTGCGCTGCTTGTGGAGAAAACTCTCTACAGGGGGACATGCCAAACTTCACTGCTAGAAATTGACAAATGGTTTTAAAATAAGGGTAAAAAGATCAAAGTGCTTCGTAAAAATCAGAGGAACATCACAATTTAAGAACTAATACCATAAAAAACAGCTTCCCTACTAGTTTACTATGGTGGTCTATCTGATAAACTGTTGACGTGTTTTCCAGGCCCACAGTACCATGTTGTATATGGCACTTGGGGTTTGTTCAGTCAGAGAGTTGTTTTCAGTATTTTTGTTCCTAAACCACTGATTTGGTTAGACCGGGAGAAGCTTAAATGGAGGGTTTGAGAGTGATTTTATTTAAAGTTTGCACGTAAACCCTCCTTTTTTGAGATGCCACAGATGTGCTCTGAGGCTCGCAGTGGGAGTTTACAGTTTAGCTAGAAAGGAGCCAAAACACAAACATATGAATTATCTCTTATGAGCTGGTTACGCTCTCACAGTTTTCTCCAACTGAACTTTCTTTAAAGTCCCTAACTTGGCAGAGCTATATTTTGTTTATGCACATTTTGAAATAAAGAATTCAAAAGAATCCTCTGCAATAAATTTAAATTAAAATTGCAGTTGTTTCCATATTTCTGCACCGTAAGCTGTGTTTCACAACCTTTGACATATTAATGTAGTTATTTAGGGCTCTTTAATAAAAAACTATGTAACAAACTAAGATCTTAAGTAAAATGTATATTCTTTAAAAAATGCATGAATGAAGAAGTAGTTGGAAAGATAAAAAATTCTAAATAATTGGTGATTTTTTTAGTAAGGGCCTTGTCAAACTATACATTGTTCTTGATCAGTTTACAATGATCACTTAGAAATGAAAAGGTTTCATATTTGTCTGTGATAGATCAAAAAACATGCAACTTGTATTTGCTAAGACGAAAGGAAACTTATTTATGAATGTCAAAACACTTTTTGGAAAAGAAAAGTCAAAATGTTTGATGTACTGTTGTCTAAAAGTTCAAACCCCATTAGGATACCGTAACAACTACTCTGTGAAGGCCTACACGGTTTCTAACTAAATATAAAAGAACAAACTGAACCATGAAGACCAACAAGGAAGACAAGTCGGGGTAAGAGTTACAAGTATTAGCAGGGTTACTTTTTTTTTTTTTTTACAATATCTTAAAGAGCATTTTCAATCTACTATCCTGAAATGGAGTGTAGGCAACCTTTGCAGTCCATTTAAACCAAGGTTCCAATCGCAGTCCTTGAGGCACATTTAAAAAGTGCAGGACACCTAACCTCAAGGACCAGAATTAAGGGACCCTGATTTTAACTGAGAGGTTGGGCAAGGGGAGCATACATCATAACAGTGGCCAATAGGCCTATGTTTCCTCTGGAGGAGCTGGGAAGGTCTAAAGTTCTAGTAGAAAAAGTTTAAGCTGATATAACGAGTACATTTCTCCAATGTGACTTTAATAAAGTCAATCAACCAATCAATTGATTCTATAGTGAAAGCTGTTTGAAGCCGGCCTCGTAATTTGGGATTCCCCACTGCATTCTGAGTGACTAAAATGACAATGTACATTTTTTAAGGTCTGTAGTAAAAAAAAATGTAATATTTTTGGTTAATTTAGGTATTTATATAGTGTTTTGCCACAGTTCATTAAAAAATGTTTTAGTGGAGTAAGAATGATCATAGGTCGCACTCTTTTCCTTGGACATAATCCATTCCCTGGCTTTTTTAAAAGCCTGTGGAGTTCAACCCCTTTATCTTATTTTTCAATTGCAGACAGCTCTGCAGAAGAAATCACGGCTTCCATATAATGTCTGTGTCCTCAAATACACCTGGATTAGCTTTTCTGATTGGTTGATGCTCCTCATCCTTCTGCACAATTTCAGATTTCTGAACTCCACCGTCAAGCACTGGAAGAGTGGGATGCTCTGACGCTCGGATACACTGCTCCCGATGCACGGACATACTGTACCGCAGGACTTCTCGACACTGTTTGACATCTTCGCTGTACCTTTGCATTTAAATCAGATACTTTCAGAACATGTTAGGTGTGAATGCACCTTAAGCCTGATTGTGACTCCATGGTTTCTTATGGTCTTTCTGTGAAAAGATTCTGGATTCTTGCCTACCCCTTGGATCCCTCTGCCTGGCTCTGTTCTGTCTGCTCTGACCCATTTTCTGTCTCCTTGAAAAATGGGCACTATCTCCCCCCTGGAAAGCTAAAACTGAGAAGTACCATTACTCTGTTTATCTGTCTCAATCAGGCATCACTAAACCCTGTTTTGGAGTGATCCAAACCTGCAGTGATGTCAAGCAAAACCAAATGCCGCTCTGATATCTGCTGAGGAACCGAGAACATCTCCCTTCCCCTCAACACGGATCCTGAGAAGGTTAGGCCTTTTTTCTGGTTGATGTGCTTAAATATAGAATCAATTTAGTAACTAACCCGTTCTCTTTTTCTCAGAGATTCCTGTCTCCCATACTGAAATGTTTGTGCAGCGTTGGCTGAACTCTTTGAATACATTTTTAAAATGTTCACTATTGTGTCTGGCTGAATTTTGGGTCCTTTGCCTGAGATTTTGCAGATTTGGCTTGTAGCTGTATTAGTGAACGCTTTTCTCTAGCATTTGAACACTCTTCTTTTTGTCCAAAAATTATCATGGTAGTTTTCTCCTGACTCAACTGAAGAAAACTTTTGCACATTCATGTGTTGATTTTTTATATGCATTTACCCAGCGCTTGTATAGGTTCATATTCACCTGAGATATCGAGATGTACAGCTGTGTGTCATCTGCATAGTTATAGTAAATCATGTTGTTGTTTATTAAGATCTGACTTAGGGAAGGCATAAAAACATAGGAGAGCCCCCACGGTGGTCACTTGGGGAACTTCCCATTTAATTTTTGTGAACTATAATGTAAACTTAACTACTGAGACAAAAAAGGTCCTGTTTTCATTGAGGATTTAAACCACACTAACGTACAAAAAAGGGTGATCCAACTTTCCTGGCGATCTAATATAATACAGTAATCAGCAGTGTTGAATGCAGCTCTTAGGCTGAATAATACCAGCGCTGTGGTTCTTCCACAGTCTGCGTTTCTATGGATGTCACTGAACACCTTGACAAGAAAAGTCCCTGTGCGATGGGGAGCACAGCCTGGATACAATTAATGTACATGCTGCGGCAGAAGGCAATTGTCCTTCATCTATCCCTGATCCATTTTTTTGCAGAGATAATTGCAATACAGACACACTCATCATATCATTGGATCAACATACAACAAAACCAGAGACATTTTATGTTAACGTTGTACTCCGATTATATTGATATTGTGTACTGTACATCTGTTCACTTAATCTTAGCTTTGTCCCAATCTTCCAAAGGGTCCGACTTGAGCCACTTCAACATTTGGTACTAAATTGATCATTGTCAAAGAATTTTGACTGCTTTTGTATTTAGTTTTTCTTGGTCTCCTTTGTACTGTGCATTTCTCGAGCCATCCTCAATATTTGCTAACAGTAAATGCATTTCTCAAAACAAATCATACAAATAGCAAAACCCTAGTAAACGAACATGTTAATGCCATCAAAATGAGTGCTGGTGTCAGTTGAATTAATATTACAGCGGATTAGTCATGTAGTCATTATAACATTGTACTATGGATAGATGTTCTTGTAATCCTCCATAGTACAGTGTTAGCCATAACCTCACCCTAACCCATACTGTGAACCTAAACTATGGCTAAAGTTTTGATGGCAATTTCTGTAGATACTAAGTTATTTCTGGGACGATATTAGAAATTTATTTCAAAAGACTTGAAAAATTGCAAGAGATTTATATTTACTTATTTACTGTTTGTACTGTAATTTCTTAAGAGAAAAATAGCAGCACAGCCTTAAATAAAGAAATAAAAGTAGAGTAGAAATGTAAACAACATAGGATAATCTACTTAGTAAAAACTGTGAAGCAGTCTTGTTGGAATTATAGTGCAGTCTTCCTACACCTCCTAATGTTAATGTTTGTTGAGCCACATCTTCTAATCCAGATCAAAATAAATATCTTCTCTTGCTATGCAGTTTGGAAAGAGAATTTTAGACTGTCTTATCAAGTCTTTGCAGGCTTCTGCTATGATGTTATCACGCACTGTATGCATGGCAGCCTGTAATAGAAATAGGAAGTAGGGTGGGAGGAACTCCAACAGCATCCTGGTGTGGGTCGCAAACTATTGCCTGATGATGTTGTGATAAAAACCGATATCCTCGTAAGCTATCACCTACTTTGACAAGTCATCTACAGTCTGACCACTCTCTTTTCAGGGATAAGATCCCTATAGAAAGTTTTTAAAAAGTTGACATGATACAATGATGGGAAAATGCATTACTACACCATTCTTAGATTTCGCCTAGAATGGTGTGACTTTACACATTTCCCTTCATCAGAAAACGTCAAAAATGACCAGGGAGAAATTTACTGTACCAATGCAGGAGGTAATTAGAAAAAAAAAGTTTAGGTTAATCTATAGAAATGTGCTTGAAATATTACTTTTTTTTAAAACGATGTTGTATATTAAGACATGTGGTGAACTAATGCATAAAAATTGTGGGACCCATTATAGTACAGTGGGATCAAGTATACCACGCCAGTATAGCTGGCCAGGGTGTAACCACCTCTCGCCCGTAGACAGCTGGAGAAAGGCACCAGCACCCCTCTCGATGCCCGCTTGGGATAAGCGTTACAGAAAATGGATGGATGGATGGATGGATGGATGGATGGATGGATGGATGGATGGATGGATGGATGGATGGATGGATGGATGGATGGATGGATGGATGGATGGATGGATGGATGGATGGATTATAGTACATTTTGATTCACGTGACATAAGCAAAAAATAATGTAGGAAACAGTAGAGAATTGTTCATACTCCTCAACATGCATGTAACAAAGCATTTCCAGCTTGTTTGTAATTGGAAAATATTTTATGTTTCCAATTGACAGAAGCATCAAAAAGTAGATCTCAGAATTATCTTATATCTTAGAAATAAACAAAATCTACTGAAAAAAACTTCAGTAGTTCCTTTCCCTCCCACAGTAACCATCACTAGTGTTCAGAAGTAGGTAGTACCTTATTATATTTACTCAGTTACATTTCCTTGAGTTACTGTTTGAAGGAAAAAATGGTTTCACCGTTTCATACGGGCATTCTTGTTTCTGTTGAGATGTTGACTTTTTCATATTGCTTTGACTACTGTAAGTCCTTTTGAATCATAATTGAGTTAGTTTGAGTTAAAGTTAATTATGTGAACTTCTAAACAAAGTTTAAATTAACTAATGAATCTCTAAAATACCATGTGAAGTTGGTACTTTTTCTAGCTCTACATTTTTTTTTTTAAATAAAACCCTTTTTTCTTTGTGTTAGTTTTTCCAATGCCTAAATATTTTGTTTTACTACAGGAAAGATTGAAATACTCATAGCAAAGCTGGTCTGGTTCTTAACATGCAAGCAAAGAGGCCATGTTTTGTTGGGCTCTCTGTTCAGACTAAACCTTAATCTTTTGATAAGAATCTTGCAATAAAAGAAGGTAAATGTTAGCCCACCTAAATGATTGCCCTCTTTTCTGAACAGTTTCTTTCTCTACAGGGAATTTTACCCCTGCTTTATCTAAGTCCACCAACTACGGAGGACCACTGCCTTGTGTGCTAAAAAATAAGAGCAGCTTTGTTTTCAAGCAGTGGCAGTGCCAAAAAGAAGGAAAATGCTTTCCTCCAACTGCTGCAAGTAGAGTGGCCACTGTAGAGGAGAACTTGTTACTTCCTGTGCTGACTCATTTGAGTATTATACAAGGTATATTTAGTGGTGCAGAGATAAAGAGAACAAATAACAAAAAGGAAGTAAAATAAACCTTGTTATATTGTGCTGATCAATCATAAGTTTGTCTGCCAGGACTGTTTTTTTTTTTTTTTTTGATATTTTTAGATGTCCCGACTTATTTTGACTTACAGGCAGGGCTGTAACTACCACCGAGGACAGAACCTCAGTTAAATAATTTATTAATTGCTTAAATTGTGATATAGGCTTAAGCTAAAATAAATTGCAGTGAAACTGACTTTAGGACGATGATCTTGGTCTCCCTTTAAACCGCAAGGTGTTTTTTTGTTTTGAAAAGCCAAAAGTGGCAGACAAAAAGGGGACATCAAAGCTTTATTTAACTATGTCTGTACCGCTTGTCAGTCAATTTGTCTGAACCAACATTCATTATGCGATTGATATGTTAGTGAGGTCTTCAGCTGAAAGTGAAACCTTTATTCGGCGTTGGTTTGGCAGTGTTGGATCTTGAACCGGTTTATATTTCTGCTAGATACCAGAGCAGAAAGCAATAAGAAGGCAGATTGCGTGGGACAGGAAGTCGGGTGCAGAAACAAAATAAAACATCTGGTTAATTTTCAAAATAATCAAGATAATAATAATTCAAGAGTCACGGTGGTTCTTAAAAAAGCCTCAAAATTCTCCATTTTTATCTAATACTGCTATAATGTATTAGACTATTTTATCTTACATACCTACTGACATTCATTAAATTTGTATATCTATCCAGGTTGTTTAATATTATAGTTATTATTAGCTAGTTTTACTACTATATTCTTTGACATCCGGGTGCTCTGGAATCATGGAAACAAATTTAGTTTCATTTAATGTTAATGTGTTGAATTGACAAATAAAACTCCTTGAAACATGATATTGAAATACATAATGTTTTTATTTCTATCAGTTAAATTTTCAACTTTGTTGATATTCTTAACTAAAGGGAAAACAGGAAGGGAGGAAAAGGTCGAGTCCAACCAAACTCTGCTTTGGGCCAAGCAGCAAGAGGAGCAGTGAAGAGAGAGAGAGAGGGTTTGGTTTGGGAGAGCAGGTACTAGAAAAAGAAGATATTGTTCTACCATACTGTTGTGTAGCAGAAACAACCTATCTGAACAATTTTGATGATGTAATTTTGAGCTTGACAACATTTATTTGGAGTGGGTTAAATGACCACTGAATAGATGTAGAAATTGTTTTTCACATTTGTTAGTGTAAGCATTAAAACCCTAATATTATCCTTTGGTGCTGCAGACTTAATTTTCTTTACTTTTTTTACCAGATAGTAATAGACAGACCGGTGATCATTGACATTTATTTTTGCACAACGGTTAAAAGACCTATTCAGAATACTGACCGGTTTCTCTCCAAAAGACACTTCATCATTGCTCAAATTTTCCCGTAAGCCTTTTTGAGAGAAACACAGCCACAACGTAAATCGTCTTCTTTTGCACTTCACATTGGAAATAACATATTTTACTAACAGTTTTCACATATGTTTTTTATTTCCTTGGAGTCCAAAACACAGT